ATAGTTTTCCATATATAGTAAATCAATGTATAAAAATATTTATTATAGTAAACTATAGCTAACTATATTCTTTTGAATTTTTGTTTGGGTGTGATATGATATGACCAAAAAAAAAAATGATTTCTGTTTCTTTGCAAAAAAGTAAAACGAAGAAAAAAGAAATTATTTAGTCAATTCTTGAGAGACCTTAATTTTGGCTTAAGGAATACTTTAAAATCATTACGTCCAATTTCATGCTTTGCGTCAAATTTTAATTATTGTTTGTTGTTTTGAGATTTTGTCACTCAAATGAAAACACCAAACACTAACGAAGGCCTTTATATTTAAATCTTCACATGGCAGTTTGGGCCTTTGAGCAATGAGAGTTTTTAAATGGTCTAACGCCTACCGTGAGAAGGAGCATCCAAAAAACAATGACTTTCATTCCTTTCGCCAGGCGCTTGGTTACAGAAATGGCACTGCCTAATTTTTAACGACTAAGGTTTGTCGCGGTACCGAGAATGAGATATGAGCCCTAAAATAAGCTACAGATCATGCAACAAGTTACTCATTAAATAAAAGCAGTAAAACATAGCAAGTAAGAACCAAGTGAAAACTCACATTGCCGTTCACAACGATTGCCAAGGTATGGGAAAGGACACAAACATTTCTGAATTTCACCAGAAAGGAAACATGTTCCTCCATTTTGACATGGATTGTAACTGCAGAATGGTAGACGTGGTTGATTGCAGTAAGGACCAGTCCATTCGGGGGGACACCTACATCCCACAGAGTCGTGCCACTTACAACATCGTTCAGAGTCTTTATTAATCAAAACGAAAAAGATTTATAAAATAGAATATGAATTAATCTGATATAATATAACCATTAAAATAAAATAAGACAGAATTACCATGCCAATATGTTCCCTGTTATAAGCTCTAAAAAGTAAAGATGTTAACTGATATAGACATGAGAATACAATACTGAAGAACATCCTTTTTGTGGTAAGACATAAAAAATCTTGGTTGAAGAATTACTAAAACTCAAATCTCTTTACAGTTGTAAAATGTGATCTTTTAATAAAATATATAAAAATATATATGAAGAAAATCAGAGACAATCGTAGTTTACATGTATATGCTTTTATATTCCTTTAATAGGCCTTTTAAAGTCCTTAATGATAAGAACCTGGATGGCATAAAACAAACAACTTATTTTCAATATTATTTGATATTTTTAAAATTTTACTTATGGAATAATTTGAGGCCTAACTATTGCCATAGAGCTACTTCTAAATTTAATCTTCTTTAATTCGCAATGAAAACTAAAGTTTAAGACAACATGATAATAATAATAACATGATTATTGATTAAAATTAAATAATTATGAGTTTAGGTTTTTGAAAGAAATAATTATTTAAGACGATGAAGACAAACATAACTTCTTATAATTATTTATTTTTGAGTATCTTATTAAAATATCATCTATGAAAAGGGAAAGAAAAAATATATTTTGAAATTGTAACGACTAACTTTGACAATATCTGCCTTGAAGGGGGCATTCGCAACGAAGAGATCCTCCCAGCATTATACAGACAAGGATTAGACTTGTGACTACAACAAAGCAAAGCAACAAGATATAGAAAAAGATTTTTATGTCTCTACCGAGGCTTCAATAGAGGAAATTTGTTAAGATCACAGAATTAAAAAAAAAAAAGAACATGATCAGAAGAAAAAATTCAATAATTTTATTTAATTTCATTTAAGTGAAATTACGTTGCAAACTTTTAAAATTCCCTTATGGATACAGATTCACATTAGCTTCTACATGTTTATGCACATAATATTCTTTGTTCTTATTAAATTTATGTGATGAAAAAAAAAATGTAAATTATCAATTGAAAAGGAGATAAATGCAGCATTAATCTCTTTTACATTTTTAGAATTAACATATATATATATATATATATATATATATATATATATATATATATATATATATATATATATATATATATATATATATATATATATATATATCAGCTCTCTCTCTTTTTCTCTTTTTTGAAATATTTATTTATGGATTAAATCTTGAATAATGTTTTTTTAAGAATAAAATTAACTTTTTGATGTAACAATATATTTAAAGTAACTTTAACTTTGAGATGTATGAAATTTAAGAATTTGAATAGAGTACACCTGCTTCCCCTTTCAAGGTATTTGATAACTGTTCTATGGAAAAAAAAGGCATGGATCAAAAGTTCACAACTTGCAAAAAGTAGATCATAAGAGACAGTTTGTCAGTGGAGACACACACAGTGAAAATTTTAAAACTGTACCAAACAAAATACCTACCTCTGACTCCTAGTTGAAAATTGCAGGCGACCAAAAAAGTCACAACAAGAAAAGAAGTAAACATATTGGTTCACAGCTTTAGTTTGAATCTGCACATCACTAGGTACTTGATTTTGCAACTTTGCTTGCATTTAAGCTCCTTATAGGCAGTTCTGAAAGAAAAAATACATCTGATAAATCATGTCATGATAAATTATTGTCAACAGCTTATTCTCTTCAGGGGCAGAAATAAAGTACATAATTGTATATTAGTCAATTATGTAATATGAATTTCATTTCTGAGTTTTTACTTACAATTGCACTCTTTCAACAATTATTTCATCTAAGAATTAAAGTTAACTAAATCTACAAAAAAATATTTGTAATACAATATTCTTCACAGAAAGCACGACTACGCCGGATGAATCGTAAATTGTAAACCAACACGTTACATGTACAATAATACTTTTGTTTGACGACATGAAAAAATACTGTCTATATGAAGGGAAAACTTGATAAACATTTAAAGAAAATATAACCTTAAATAAAATAATGGACAAATTAATAGAAAATCAAATTGATGACAGGAACATGCTTAGCTAAATGTTCAACTCCTCAATAACTTAAGCATTTGGAGAGATTTCCATCAGCAAATCCCAGTCTTCTACTTTAATTCCGTCAAAAATACACCTAAGCAGATTGGAATATATAGTGTTCTGTTACATCCCAAGGTAGATTTCCATATCTACATGTAAATGCAGCTCAATATGCGCAAGAGTCTGGAAAAGGGTCCCAATGAGACATAATGATTGACAGACAAAAAGACATCTCTAGACGAATAAATGAAATGATTTTATGCTGTCCCTTTGATCTTCCTCGATAAGAGACTACATGATTAACTGAGCGTAGTTATAGAGTAGTGAAGTATGACTTTCCATTAAGTTGTACTTTGTCACATGTAGATATTTTTGGTGAAATTTGCATTAATATACGTGTTCCTCAACACCAAACTACATGTGCCATTGATGACACATGCAGTCATAAAATTGACATAAATTTACTGTCAACTGCTCGGCTATCATGCATGTGCCTTTGTACAATATACATCTACATGTAGTACAAAATGAAAACACGCCATTGATGTGTGTATAGATTGATATGATGTCGTATGTATTTTACATATAATTTCCCACTATCAATAAAAATCTTAAATTATGTCCAAACGCCTTAAAATGTCATTGTTTACTGGTAACATTTTTAGACATTGATCGTATATCGTCAATTTCTTAAGATTTAATTTGCCAACAACTTGGCAACAAGGGCATAGATGTTATAAACATAAGCAATATTCTGAATCATCAAATGTTTAGCTTTGTATTTTAAGTTGAAATCTACACATTGCATTTCCTACAGATTTTCCCAACTTTTGCATCCTGAATTTTCCATTACAAACTTACTCTACAATGCTTAATTACAAAAAAAAAAAAATAAATAAATAATTAAAAAAAAAAAAAAAAAAAAAAAAAAAAAAAAAAAAAAACAACAACAAGAGTTTTAAGGGCTTTAACGGTCACCTGAGTATAATACAATTAATACTGTAAAAGATCCATAGAAAAAAAAATCAACTGATAGATGTGTTGCCCAAAAGCAAGAGAAGGGATCAACACCCTCGAGCTCTGTGTAGTTTCTAAAGACCAAGTATACCAACAATCTGTTGGAATTTCCAGAGGCACTAACTATTCTTCCCGTTTGTTACATTTTCAACTGTGAAAAACTGTGATTTATTGATTGAATAAAAGTGATATTCTGGATATTCTCTCAGAATGATAACTATTCTGTCACAGTGTGAACGGATATCAAAGTAAGTAATTAAAAAAATATTTTCTGGTCTGTAATAAGACACTTAACCATCTTGATAGAAATAAACCTGCCAATTTCTTCCCAAATATTAAAATCCATGTTACAATGTTTTCAATCTTACAACTACTAAGCTATGACTTGCAAACTGCTTAACTATGACGTCACATCCTAATGACACTGTTTTTAAAAAAGACAGAGGCAAAGGTAAAATGAAAGGAAATATAATACACAGAAAATTCAATGTTTGTGGTTGTATATTAGGATTTTTTCAATATTTTTACTTGTGCTTCGCAGAATTTATTATTAAAAAACTCAACATTTCCATAAATCGACGACGATTTATCAATAAAAATGGCTATTGGAATTTTTATTCATACTGTATGTCCGTTTGATACTGGCATATTCTATGGAACTCGAAATAAAAGACACCACTGAGCCTGCAATATCTGCTAGAATATCTACTGACTAAAGACATTAATGACAACTAAACTGTAGGAAAAACCGGATAACTTTTCAACTCCCCCAAATTATATGGTTATATTCCACAGTCACCTGCATATGACGTTTGTACCTCCCAAATGATTTGATACTCAAGAGCTAATTCACTTTGAAGCAGGGACAGGCTATCAACAAATTAGGAATGATACATGGCTTTAAAATATCTTGTTTAAAGTATTCTATGATCCTTTAATGACCACTTTTGCATACCTCTCATTATGTCGTATGTTGATTGACATGTTTCTTACCAATTGCTAGAGTATTGCTATAATACTATGACATATTTTCCGTTGAAATCTTGAAAATTGTCAAACTTCAACAACAATCTAGACAGTTAATTTTATTTGAATTTTGAAAAGTGAATGCCAATCAAAGGAAACAAATTAAGTCTTCTTTCTGAAAACGAAAATAAGAATTTTTTAGCATCATGCAATACGTTTTAAAAATATATCTATTTCGATGTTTGATAAATAATAAAATACTAGTATAACGAATGTATGTATCAGAAATTTTTGGAAATGATAATTTATACATGTAAACTGCAATATCTTTTCCATGTAAGTCTTCATTTATCATGCGCAACAGTGAAAATTATAAGTTAATGCATGTACATATAAAAAAAACGTACAATTTTACCAGTCGAAAACTTATCTTCACATCTTTCTGCTTTTAATTCGTCGGAGAAGATGCCCTTTTCCTCAAACAGGACAGCTGTTAGTCTCCCAGCACGGCTCTGGGTATACCTGGAAAACTAAAACCATATCACTCTTAATAGATTTTTGTATGTACAAAAATCCCATTCCCATACTTATCCCGATTAAAAGATTTTTTTATCCGTAAAAGTGTCATACATATCGTTCTTAATATATTCATTTCATTATCAATTTCATATTAAATTTTATGAAAATTGTTCTTATACCTTGTTGTCATAAGACGTAGTGACGTACAAAGGTAAATCAAGAATAATGAGCTTTAATCTTAACTAAACCAAAGTTTTAAATCCGCATTTTTGATTATCTACATTGTATTTTGTGTCGCCTTAATGTCTAGTCGCTGTTTGTCCATTAGTTAAATTCTCATATTTTCGACTTGTTCTTCAGAATCACCAAGACAAAGCTTAGTCCAATTTACTTGCCTCAAAACACTTTTGGATATAAAAGGAATTTGGAATCGGTGATAATGAGGAAATTGAGAAAATGTAATTTTGTCATTTTGAATCTTTTAATAATGAACAAAACAAGAGGCCCAAGGGCCACATCTCTCACCTGAGCACTGTAGCTAGGAAAAAAGGAAAAATCAGTTTAGTATTAAAAAGCTTAAATGCATAAGTGGTCCCAACCTACCCCTAAAAAGGGAGTGGGGGGGGGGGTCATGATTTGAACAAACTTGAATCTACACTATCTGAGGATGCTTCCGTATAAATATGACAAACCGTGGCTTTGCTGTTCTTGAGATTTTTAAAGATTTTTCCTATATATTCCTATGTAAAACTTTGATCGTTCATTGTGGCCCCACCCTACCCCAGGGGGTCATGATTTGAACAAACTTGAATCTACACCACCTGAGGATGCTTCCATATAAATATGACTAATCATAGCTTTGCTGTTCTTGAGAAGAAGATTTTTGAAGATTTTTCCTATATATTCCTATATAAAACTTTGATCGGCCATTGTGGCCCCACCCTACCCCCGGGGGTCATAATTTGAACAAACTTGAATCTACACCACCTGAGGATGCTTCCAAATAAATATGACCAATCATAGCTTTGCTGTTCTTGAGAAGAAGATTTAATTTTGAAGATTTTTCCTATGTACACCTATGTTAAACATTGATTGTCCATTTTGGCCCCACCCTACCCCTGGGGATCATGATTTGAACAAACTTGAATCTACACCACCTGAGGATGCTTCCATATAAATATGACTAATCATAGCTTTGCTGTTCTTGAGAAGAAGATTTTTGAAGATTTTTCCTATATATTCCTATATAAAAATTTGATCGTCCATTGTGGCCCCACCCTACCCCCGGGGGTCATGATTTGAACAAACTTGAATCTACACCACCTGAGGATGCTTCCATATAAATATGACTAATCATAGATTTGCTGTTCTTGAGAAGAAGATTTTTGAAGATTTTTCCTATATATTCCTATGTAAAACTTTGATCGTCCAATGTGGCCCCACCCTACCCCTGGGGGTCATGATTTGAACAAACTTGAATCTACACCACCTGAGGATGCTTCCAAATAAATATGACCAATCATAGCTTTGCTGTTCTTGAGAAGAAGATTTTTGAAGATTTTTCCTATGTACACCTATGTTAAACATTGATCGTCCAATGTGGCCCCACCCTACCCCTGGGGGTCATGATTTGAACAAACTTGAATCTACACCACCTGAGGATGCTTCCAAATAAATATGACCAATCATAGCTTTGCTGTTCTTGAGAAGAAGATTTTTGAAGATTTTTCCTATATATTCCTATATAAAACTTTGATCGTCCATTGTGGCCCCACCCTATCCCCAGGGGTCATGATTTGAACAAACTTGAATCTACACCACCTGACAATAATTCCACATGAGTTTCATCTTTCCTGGCCCACTTGTTCTTGAGAAGAGGATTTTTCAATAATGCCATTAATTTTTTGCTATTTCGTAATTATCTCCCCTTGGAGGAGGGCGTGGCCCTTCATTTGAAAAAACGTGAAACCCCTTCATCCAAGGATACTTCGTGCCAGGTTTGATTAAAATTGGCCCAGTAGTTCTGGAGAAGAAGATGAAAATGTGAAAAGTTTACGACAACAACGACGCCGACGCCGCCGCCGCCGACAGACAACGGACAAATTTTGATCAGAAAAGCTCACTTGAGCCTTCGGCTCAGGTGAGCTAAAAAAAAATGAATTTTATATAAAGCCATGTAGAGCAGATTCATCTCTCATCGAATCATAGGAATGAGACTCAAAGTTTGATAGTGAACATAGGAATATATTTTTCCCTCCCTCTCGAATAGCTATGTAATGAAAAATATCTGTGAAATCACAAATACTCTTGGGCGAAATATATATTTTTGTAAACAAATGAAATATTTTTCACTCTCAAAAGGAAAACTTATCCTACGAAAATAGATGACATTTCACTACGTTAATTTCAAGAAGCAAAGATTCAAGAATTTTTTTTTATTCAAACAGAGACCTGCAAAAGGATGGAACAGTAGCAAAATTTCAAACTGAAAATGTATACATGTCAGAAATTTATGTTCTCAATAGAGAAGGGTCATGATTTAGTAATCTTAAGTAAAGCATCCTCAGATTATAAAGACTGAGGTTTTTTAAGTCAGGGGTTTTCGAAGTAGGATAGGGAATCATCAGGAATTTGAATTTTTTCATATGATCCAATGAAAAAATAAAAAAAAAAAAAACATGATCAAGCCTATTTATATCAATATGTAATCATAATCTGGTGGTGCAGATTCCCGTTTCACAAGTGAGTAAGGTTGGGTATCTGCGTTTCTATGCAAATGATATTTTGAAAACAAATTAAAAGTTAAGATTAATTAAAAAAAAAAGAGGTTACAACCAATTTCCTTTAACATACTTTAACATATTTAGTTCTCACGACAAGGTATATTCAATACCCATTATAATGTCATATTATGACGTCATTGCTCCTCAATAATAGAAGAAAAGCATATTATAAAAACAGCTTCAGCATAGCTAAATAATATATATTTATAGTGCAGAAAAAATGCTATTACAAGAAATAATTTTTTTTAAAGAATTGATGCTATTCTTCACAATGACAACACTTCAATTGTTAATTTTCTTTTCTTTCTTTTTCTTTTCTTTCTTTCTTTTTTTTTTTTTTTTGTTAGTCTTGAGTTGAAACATGATTAAAAATCCGTAGCCTGGATTACATGTACATTTCTTTAAATTTTAGATTGATCAATTCATGCTGCTTAGGTTGGAATTTGACCTCAATTGAGGATCAAAATTTTTCTCTTAGTTAAATGAAGGTATGTGTTTTTAAATTATCAACAAATTTATTTTGATATATTAAGATCTGCTTGTACATTTGAATGTTGAAATTTTATCTATATTGTCTTTAACATGATGTTTATATAATCAAATCAGTTTTTTTCCCAAACCAGAGGTCATAACATGTAAATTTCCTGTATTTGAAGTTTCAATACCAAATTTGAATATTTGGAATAAAAATGAGAAGTATTAAATTATAGTTTCGGAAAAATTAAATAATTACAATCGCAAAACGGCGGGAGATAATCTCCAGCACATTCACATCTGAAATCCCCGTTGTATGGTACACAGGTCCCTCCATTTTTACATAGATCATGCTGATATGGGTCAAAAGGTTTTCCTGAAGTAGAGAGCTAAGATGAAAAGATTTACATATATTCATATATATTTGAAAATTAAACAATTGCATATTGTCTATTTTTACATACATTTTTTTTCAATTTTCTAATAAACGTGGGGAAAAAATGACTATCAAAAGATGATTACAATGTCTGTACATGTACTACTAAATAATATCGCTAATCGTCGTATTCTACATTTATTTTTTCTATCTTCTTGCAGATTTTCTAGAGTCTTTTTAGATTAAAAAAAAAAAAAACAACTAAATACCATTACATTTTTTTAATGAAAATAAGAGATTATATAAAATATTTTCACTGTATATATCAAATGCCGCATTTTGATTAACTTTTAATAGCAGGAGGTATAAGAAGAAAAGTAAGATTTCCTTAAGGTATGCACCAGTTTATCGATTTATATGAAAAAAGCAGAATCAAAATAGCAACATGATTTTTGCAAGACCTGAACATGTCTGTGATAAAACCCGGTAAGTCTGAATTCAAAATGACATGTTGGTGTTGTAATTCAATGTCAAACTTTTTGTCTGAATGTATGTACAAGGTGCAAAAATAAATTTTCTATTTTATGTCTTCTGAAAAAAGAAATGCTTGGCAAGAAAAAAGTTTAATCAAATCAGTTGATCAGGCCCCAGGATCATGAAACAGACTTAGACTTAAGTCCAATTTTCAATCGCCTGTAAAATTTTGATTAATTATTGAATTAATCTCTAAATCTGCAGATAAGAAAGATTTTGACTTAAGATTAAGATGTTTCATGATCCCGGGGCCAGGTCAGAACAATTTTAACAAAAGACAAGTTCAAGTTCATTTATTCACTCAAAACCATGTAAATATGTGGTACATGAGGACAATGAAAAATATTTACAGCATATAAATTCAGGTCAGAGGTACAAGTATATGATATACATGCTCAGAAAAGTGAAAGAGGACAAAGAGAAGAAGAAAAAAGATAAATACATATTACCACTTATACGAGCCTGGTCTCGGATAAGTGAGTTTATTTCAGTAACCCTACTAATATTTATCTATTCCGTATAAGTTATGTACATTCGGATAAATATAGATTTTCACCCTTAGTCACAAGCTATCATTCCGGATAATTGAGGTCCATTCGTATATAGTCTAATAGTAAGTTCTCTTCTACCTCCTTTCTCAAAGAATCGATTAAACGGTAAGGTCATGGAAAATTTTTGGGAGTTAAATTGTGGCAATGTTTTAAATTTTACCCACCCACCCTCCTCTTGTTTTTAGAACAAATACTGCTGCTTTTTGTTATGTCATTGTAGCTGAAGACTGCCTGCTTCGTCCAGCTTCCGCAAAAGCCTATGTCGCGGTGGTGGATTATGGGTGTTCGCATATTCCCTAAGGACAGCTTGCTTGGTCCAGCACCTACATCAGCCTACGTGGCGATGGTGAATTTTGTGTGTTTGCGTATTCCTTAAATACAGCCTGATTGATCCAGCGTCCACATCAGCCTATGTGAAGGTGGTGAAATCTGCGTGTTTGCGTATTCCGTGATGACTGCCTGCTGGGTACAGCGTCCACTTCAACCGATGTCGCGGTGGTAATTCTGTGTGTTTGCGTATTCCGTCGCACCTCAACGCAACTGGAGGAGTGCAACACATATTCTTACGCTCATTCCATTGTTTATCCTATTGCCATGTAAATTGAAATTCAGGATTTGAATTTGTGCATTGGCTTGTAATTGACAAGCAGTTGACTTGATTGATATTGAATTGATTGATTGATTGAATTTGATTGATTGATTGATTGATTGAACTTGATTGATAATTGAATTGGTGACGTTCATGCACTTGTGACCTACCCAGTGCATGATCCGCCCGATTTGGGTCGTCACATTTGTTGTATTGATTGTTGATTGTGGGGCAGCCCTGTGGTAGCCCCAGCAAATTGATCACCGCGGCCAGAAGCGCCAAATTAAACAAGCAAAATAAAATCTGTTGTTTGTTTATTAATAGGGAATCTGCAATAATGTAGATATAATAATGGTATAAAAGAGAAAAAAGTCATGGAGGACAGACTAAATCATATGTATAAATTACAAATTTTTTTTATCAGTGTCTTAGCATCTTGTTTTGTCATCAATTGAGAAAATTTAAGTATATTTGGTCTAGTAAAGAACATACGATAATCATAAGAATGTAAATTAAAGTTTAATCTTACCTTTTGCACCAAAATGATAATTGTTGGAGGCTAAATATATTATAGTAAATAAAAACAAAATTGGCATTTTAGTCCAATGTGCGTCGAACAATTATCTTATTTAAATGTCAAACTACTTTGATTTACAGGGATAAAGACTTGCTTTTTTAAAGGAATATTCCATTTGACGTTTTACTTAAATAATGAATTGCATACAACAGCTTTTTTCAACTGGAGCACAGAAAAAGTACTTTAAAGTACAAAATATATCATGGAAATCAATTTTGTTTTCCTTTAACTCCTGTGCAAAAATTTATGAATATTATCAAACCTATTTTGAAACATTTAAAGCAAAAATGTTTAGAAAAGAGTAAAAACTAGAAATCTACATAGTTGAGAGAGAGATAGAGAGAGAGAGAGAGAGAGAGAGAATGCTAGTGGTAGATCTACGTCTTTCTAGAAATAAGGAATTTAAAGTTCATCCTCAAATGTAATGACTAACATTAAATACATTCAGGTAATTTCGAACAGCCTTACTACCCTTATTTTGAGCATAAACACTGAAAATTTGTTTATACTGATAATATGTAAAATGAATAATAATGCAAATTATATGAAAATGCATTATGATAGATTTTTAGAAGATGACAAATTTTGATTACTTCAATGGTCCTTATTGTAAATTGAAAAGCAGGTTCTGCATCAGAGATGTTGTAAAATTAAATATAAATGTGTGCAATGATTTTCTATAACACTTCCGTTCAATGTCTGCTAAGCTGAGTATGAATCAGTTTCCGGTCGTTTTCGTCGTTTTACTTCTAGGTTCTTTCTCTTTAATTAAAGGTAAGATATTTGTAATTAACAAACGTTTGTCATTTTTCTCACCTCTAAAGCTTATATTTTTGAAGAAAACATGGCTATTTTAATGAAATTAAGGATTTTTGGAATTGATAACTATCCTTGCAAACGACATAAACCTCTAAAGATTTCAATGGAACCTTTATCAATAAATGAATCATTTAAATTAACCATAATTCATTGACATCAAATGCAACGGATTTTTCTAGCTTTGCATCATCTTTTGGGCTCAGAATTAACTTTAACTAAAAATTGTGGATTCCGATGATTTTCTAATGCATATATTTAAGCGTTCAACATGTCATAACACTGACATCTAAGCTGACAAATTGAATGAAATAAACCAATGTCAATATGAGTTTTTCTGCACCACTGCAATACATGTATATATTTGAATAAGTACAAAGGAAGTAAATTACGGAAAGATTAATAATAATGAACATTGTTTGAGTTAAATACGGATAAAGTCGAATACGTTTATTTTTTGTTGAAATCTTAAATTTTATTCCATGTAATTGAAAATTTAAAGGATTTTAATCACGTCTCAAAACTCTTTGATATATCAAATATATCCTGATAAAATCATTCATTTGAATTTCTTTGGTAAAAAATTAATATATTTGATGTTTCAGTTTCCAAGTTAACTTTGAATTTTCAAGATTGTACGTTTTATTATCATAAGTGTCACCGATCGATGTCATAAAATCAATGCTATATAATTTGATAGATATTTTAATTATCAACAATTCTATGCAATGATATTCTTACGATCATCCATTCCAGAATTGATGTTTCAGTTCCACACGACCCGCTATCCTATTGGTGGAGATTTGTACTGAAAGAAGCCTGAATTACAACCTTTTTATCACTTTATTTACGAATGTTTTCAAACTAATTCAAAAATTGTAAGCGATAAATATATGTAACAAGAATATAACTGAGTTAATTTTTGAAGAAATTTTGAAACGGGATAAAACCCTCAAATTACACACGAATAATCCATTAAAATGGGTTTTGTTTACCTCTATAAGGCGATGACTCTGCCTGTTGGACCATGAATGGTAGATGTCAATACACATCGGAAACTTGTTTTCAATGTAAAGCAGGATATATATTGTGCTGGGCCAGCTAACAGACGATGTTGTGTTCTTGGTAAACAGATACAATTATATTCTTTATTGGAGACGATAAGGAACGGAGCAATTAATCTTATCTTAAAATCGTTATTAAAAATATTTCTAAACAGTTTTGGACTCCGTGATGAAGATTTCTCCGTATCAAAGAATGAAAGTGTACAAAATTAGAATAAACATTTAAATATGGGTCATTGTTAATAGAAATAAGATGAAGATAATAGAAAAAAAAGTGTTTTCAGGAGGGGATCTCCGATGCTGAAACAGGGGTGGTACCTGCCAAAATGACTGGAACTCCTGCTGTGGCAGATATCTGAGAGGGTTGTGTGGAGGAGGTCTATCACGCCAATGTTGTGTATACTAGTAATCGCAGATAACTTTCTCCCCATTTTTTGAAAATAAAATAAGAATAAATTGAGTTTTCTTTTTTTCAGCTTTCAAGTAAAAAACTGTCTAATAAATCATGAAATCATGTTCCTCATGAAAGATAACGATAAAGGGGAAAAATCGATTCAATACTTGATATGCGCATAATGTACATTTTAATAAAATAGGATTCGGACGTATTTAAGGCAGACGAAACAAACCTTTTTTTAAAAATCATGAAAGCAGGAAATAAATCTACATGTATGTTTGTATAAGTTAAAAAAAAAAATAAATAACAGCAATAAGTTTAGTTTGATTTTTATTTGATGTTTCTCATCTTTTTAAATGTTCCTCTACAATATGATTAGATTTATTAGGATGATAGAAAAAATGAAGAATTTGAATATCATAGAGAGTCTTAAAATTCATGAAGTTTTAAATGGTTCAAACATATATACAAATCCATGCATCCATTTGTTTGTAAATATTATACATCTTTTAGAAAAAAAATTGTCTTTGTCTTTAGAAGGAAAAAAAAAAGAAAAAGAAAAAAAGACGCACTTTTCTGTGAACGATTCAGCTTGTAGTATCTGTGCGACTGTCCCGTGGTACGACTTACTGATGAGGCTACGTCAAATGGCGGGACAGTCGCACGGACCTCTTTCACCGCCAAGATGTCAAGCACACCAGACGTGGTACAGAGACGGTGAGTCAGCACGGGCCAGAACCCACTACAGAGTGTATTTGTATATTTGTAAATAGTGATAATAAATATTGTTATAAGTACTATACACTCGGTAGTTACTTTACTGGCGCCCAACTCGCGGGGCCCGGTGCTAGATTCCCGTACTGCTGTCAGGAAAAATTTTTTTTTTGGCATTGTTTTTAGCCGCCATTTTTGGTGCTTAGAGCAGGTGTGATAGTTGCAAATTGTTTTTTGATTCTGATGCAATAATTTTTTGAATCAACTGGAATTAATTTGTGTATATATTTATTGCAGGTGATTTAGTGATTTTGTAGACTGTGATTTTATTTGAAAACTATTTTGTACTATTTATTATGAATATGTCCCTGGAGGAAGCCGTGTCGGCTTTAGGTCTGGGTAGTGACCCGGCTATCACGCGGTCAGACAATATCACCCCTCACACTCCGGGTAGGGTGGGGGGATACCCCGGGGAGGGGGGTTATTCACCATACGCTTATAGCGGGAGTGAGCATTTTGCCTCCCGTCACACACCTTTTGCTCAGTCAATGTCAGGCCACATGGGAGGGGGGTTGCCCCTGGGGGGTCCCTCTACACCTATGCCCGGCCTGCACTCGGGCATCCCCTGTGGGGAGGGTAGTGTATTTCATGGAGAGTCAGGAAAAGAGGTAAGGTTTGCCCAGCCTCAATTTGGCTCACCAGGGATGATGTCAAGTGACTCCCTGGTGTCCTCTCTAGGTAGCCTGTGTAGGTGTAGCTCACCTGGTAGCACTGTGGGTTGTACCCACCCTAAACAAGAATATAGTGAGGCCCCTTCAAATTCAGGGTTAGAGCATCCATATTCTTTAGGGCATGTGCATTCAGTTAGTAGCCACCCTGTCCTTGTGGGAGACACAGCTAACCTGGGGGGCCCTGCTACTATGGGTTATAGACCAAGCCGCTTGGGTGAGGTTGTACCACACCCACTTGACCCCGCCCTTCCGTCCCATACACCGTGTGTTAGTCAGCAATCTGAGAGGCCTGTGAGGCCCGCACAGCTCACCTCCGAGTATGATCGTCACCATGTGAGGCCCGTAGATCCTGTAGGGCTCACCTGGGACCCTGCACCCATACAGAGCCAACCTAGACTAGCAGATTTTGGTGCGCCCTCTCTCCCTGGGGATGATTTGCAACCCCGGAGCTCAATGCCACGCACTATATCTGCCCCAGCCCCTGTAAATGTTGGAGTGTCACCAGCAATGGTTCATTCACAAGTAAATGCTTTAGACACTGGTGTGACTGCTGCAAGACCCCACCCTATACCTTGTATGCTAGTTCCTCAAGCAAACCTTACCATGCGCCCCAATCAGTGTACATCAATCCTGGGGGTAGGCATGCCCAACCCCCAGTACCCGACCACGCCCATTCTGTGTTGTATCGAGACGAGAGTACTCCAGCCACACTCCATGGTATGGCTATGCCCAGTGCACTGCAGCACCATAGTGTTCCTGTGTCAATGACTTGTAGTCCTGCCCATCCCAATACCCCAGCCTGCCATTTTGGAAGGGAGGGGGAGAGGATAGCACATGTTCAACCTAACATGTATGGGGCAGCCCATCCGGGATACTATGCTAGTCAGTCAGTCCCGGCTAACCAGGCTTGCAACTTTAGTACACCAATACATTATGGCTCACCTGGTTACCAGGGCACCACACCATACCCAGGTAGGGCAGCCACTGGGGGTAAGCCCCGGTATAAGGACCTTAGGTATGATGGTAAGACCAACTGGAAGGCATTTTTGCACAAGTTCGTTAGGTTATCTCGCAGCCAGCTATGGACAGAGGAGGAGCAGCACGACCAGTTTTGTTTTTCCCTTGAAGGGGCAGCCAGTGAATACTACACCTTGCTGTTAGAAACCAATAGCCAGCTCCGCCTAGGTGAGATCTTGCAGAGATTTGAGAAGCGTTTTGGCTCCTCTGCCCCCGATCTCACTCATCAACTCAACTTCCAGGCTGCCAATCAGAATCCAGGAGAGTCACTTCGTCAGTGGGCAGAC